CTGCCTCTCCCAGGTACCACAGACACTGCATCCACCTGGAAATGGGCCTTTCCTGAGCTTGGCTTCCCCTGGATGTCAGGGCAATGGAGAGGGACCTTCCAGCCACATGCCCTTGGCTGCGTGGTGAGCAGGAGGGTGTTAGGAGCTGGGAGCTGCCCTCCCACTGTGCCCAGGGTACCCATAGGAGTCAAGCCCTGCATAGTGCTAGCCGGCCCAGTAGCATGGGTGTCCCAAGATGCCCTTTGAGGAGAGGACCAGGGATCCTCAGAGGACCAATGGAGGACTTACAGCTTCACACACATCCCTCCAGCCCCATCCTACCTCCACCACTTCCTTATTTTTTTCTTCGGCTTTCCAAAGGTCTCCCCTTGCAAAACTTAGAACTGAAATTACAGGGCTGGGCCCTCCCTTCCCAGCCCCCTCCGCTCCCTCTTTCCTACAGCCACCTCCACAAGTTCCCCAGCGCTGGGAGGCTGAGTGGGACCAACTGTGTCCCCCAGACCACTGAGGTCCTTCAGCCAGCCCAGCAGACTGGCCGCAGGGAAGCAGCTCCTATGTCCTGGTGGCCTCTTGCTCTTCTTGCATTGCCCAGAGAAGAGCATGATCCCTTGTTCCTATTCCTCCTCCCTCAAGGTGTCTCATCTCCACATTAGATACGCCTCCCTTTAGTTTAATGCCGGGCAGGCAGGAGGTCTCAAGCAGCTCGTGCAGTCCAAGAGCAAGCTCTTCACCCGCTGCAGAGCCTCTCTCCTCCGCAGGCCATGATCTCACGTGATTTTGCTTGCCTTCAACCAAGCGGCCCCCGTTTCCTGCGGCTCCACGGCCTCGTCCCGCGTCGGCTCTGGGGGGCGATGAAGAGAGAAACATGAACTGGAGAAAAAGCAGCAGGAGCAGAAGGAAAGCAAATAGGGTTCCCGGGGTGTAGCAATGGCAGCGGGCCTTGAAGTGAGGTTTCCTCTATGCGAGGTATCAGGGAGGTTCGGTGGTGATGGCAGCTGGTGGGTTTTGAATTTGGTTTTGAGCAGAATTTGCTGCAAACCAGAAGCATCCTTTGCCAGATTTGCTCCTAATACCTGCTGACAAACCAAGCAGAGAGTTGGTTTCATGTAGGGATTTCTAGAGGGGCTGGTGTTGGTCTCAGTTCCCAGTTTGACCACAAAGATATCTTTGCTCCAGCACCAATGGCCCCACAGCTGGTGGCTACCCCAACCTGTGGGCAGCCAGGGGGTAGAAGGTTTCATCAGCAAAGATCCCACCCTGCCATGGCCCTGCTAAGCACCCTGTCCAAAAAGACAGGCCACACCTGGACATTTTGACTGTGGTGCTCTGAATGGGAAGCCCTGTCAGATGGGGTGTCCTCCAGCCAGCAAGGCTGGCTGCCTTGTGCTGCTCCCGCTCTTCTTGTCCCTGCGGCCTCATTCTGCCCACAGCCTTGTGTACGATGCTCCAGGCCATAGCCAGTGTCTCCTGCTCCAGGGAGCCCAAAGAGAGGCGGGTGGGATGCATAAGGACCTGCCTTCCCGAGGAGGCTGGGTGGAGGTCACCCCCATCTGCTGATGGCTCTTTCTCCTTCCTCCACAGAACCCAAGAAGCAACCGAGCTCCTGCCAGAAGATTTGCTGCAGGTGAGGCATGGGCTGGGCTGGCAAGCATGTGTCTGCTTGTGTCTGGGTGTGGGAACCTGCCCCGTTCCTGCCTGCGATTTGCCCTGCCTGTACCTCCAAGTCACGGGGCTGGGATCTGCCCACGGGCCAGAGGGAGACTCCAGGACCATGGCATTAAGGGAACAGGAGGCTCTTGCCACGGGAAAGGGCTTCCCCAGCTGCTCACAGAGGGATGAATCCTGACCAGGAGCTGTGCTCCCTTTTCCCTGGACCAAGGATGCTCTGGGCTGCGGCGAGATGCTGGGTGGGCTCACCACGCCCAGAGCTGGGTGGTGGGGAGATGGCCTCAGGCCACCCATGGTTGGTGAAAGGGCTTCCCCAGTCCCACCTTTCCAACCCCAGATCGAGCAAAGGATCGAGCCAGCCAAGCGGGCAGCTCACAGTGTGTCCAAGAGGCTCCAAGCCTGCCTGCAGGGTCAATGCGGCTCCGAGATGGACAAGCGAGTGGTGAGTGGAGTCCGCCCCCCACAGCCTGCACAACCCCTGGCTCTGTCCCTGGCTTTGCTGAAGGGTGCCCTATAGCGCAGCCCCGGTCCCATCTCCCGCAGTGCCCACCAGCCCGGGTAGAGCAGAGCAGGGCAGGGCAGCACTCTCAACCATCACTAACTTGAGGACTCCTGAGACAGAGACGGTGTCTTTGCATTGAATAACCCTCCAAAGCCCTGTTGTCCGTGGCCCTTCCTGAACCCCTGTGAACCTCAGGCACCCCCAGTGACCTGTGGTGAGGAGCACCACAGCGTGGCTGGGCACAGTGGTGCCACAGCTTCCTCCTCCTTGGTTTGAACCTGTCACCCTGTTCCTGGCTGGTGCTCACCAGCCCTTCTCTGGGAAACAAACAGTGGTCCCCCTGCACCTTCCTTAGTGCCCCCATGCTACCGTGGGCTCCTTTCTTCTTGGCAGCCTGACAATCTCCAGTTTGGTTTCATTATTCTCGGTGATTAAAATGCTCTGTGCATTTGAATCTGTGGCAGGGCTGGGCTTGGTGAGGGCCTCCATCAGTGTCACAGTCCTCCACAGGGGACTATTTTAGAGAAGACTGAAGGTTTTGTAACCAAGTATGGAGCCTCAGTGCCTTGTTTAGCTAACTGGATCCTGGCTTTGGCTGAAGGGACATCCAAAAGGCCCCTCCTCAGGCCCCAAGGCCAATGGGGCTGGGTGGTACCAGCGGAGGATGTGGGGACCCAGCAGAGGATTTGGCCACTTGCTCCCATGCCATGGTGGCATGCTTCATGGGGATGGGGCTGCAACACACCAGCTCACCATCCCTTTCCTGAATCCTTGGCTCTGTGCAGAAGAAGCTGCCCTTGATGGCTCTGTCCATGACGATGGCTGAGAGCTTCAAGGAACTGGACACAGAGTCCAGCCTCGGGTAAGTGCCAGTGGGAGAAGGGGCTGGGGGCGACCCCAAAAGATGACAGACCCTGGCAGAGCCACTGTCTGGCCTCAGGGACTCCCACAGCCAAGCTGAGCTGTCAAACCCTGTCCTCAGAGCAAATATTGGTGTTGCAGTAGGAGAAGGAATAGCCAGCACCTTCAGGCTCCAATTGCAGAGGGGGCCAGGGGCTGGCTCAGGGTCTCACGTGGGTATGGTGGGGGGTGTTGGATCAGAGTGTGGCATGGCTCCAGCTCACAGTTATTTCATCTCTGTCCCCCACACAGGAAAGCCCTGGAGATGGGCTGCTGCATACAGAGCTCGCTGGCCAAAATCCTGGCTGAGTTTGAGATTGCCCTGGAGCATGATGTCCTGCAGCCGCTCAACAAGCTCAGTGAGGTAGCCCTGGCTGCCCTCCCAGCTCTGCTCTCCCATCCCACCTCTCCTTCACATGTCCCCAAGCCTCTGCAACTGCCTCTGGCCCCTCTCCCCCCCAGGAGGAGCTTCCCGTCATCCTAAAGCACAAGAAGACCCTGCAGAAGTTGATCTCTGACTGGAACACCATCAAGAGCCGGTACAGGGCACATTGCAGCTGGGGGGGGCAGGGCACATGGGCGTGCAGCCCCCAGCCAGGTTGTGGGAGAGAGGAAGATGACTGCCCTGGGGAGCAAATTTCCCAGAGCTGGAGTTGAAGTCAAAGAGGCACCAGCTCTTCAGGAGCACCCAGCCAGCCCCTCTCTGGGAGTGCACCCTGCTCTGGGCTGAGCCACTGGCTCTGTGGCACAGGGGAGAAGGGCAGTGCTGTTGCCAAAGGCAGCAAAGTGTCCTGGCGCTGCTCTGTACCACTGAGATCGCCCCACTTTGACTCCTGCAGCGTAGCCTGTGCTGTGCCGAGTTTCTCTGGGAGAGTGGGTGAGCCGTGGGTTGCTGGTGGGCCATTTCCACGCTGCTCTCCCTTTGGCTGGAGGGAGAAGAGGAGGGAACATCTCAGGACCAGGGCTTGGGAAGGGTCCTACAGACCCTCGGTGTTTCAGGCAGCCGGGCTGAGTGCTCCCTGTCTTGACGAGGTCGCACCCCTTGGTGCAGCAGCATCTTCCTCTGGGGAAGTGAGAGGTGCTGGCCAAGGAAAGCCACCGCAGGGCAGCACTGTGACTTGCCATCCCCCATTGCCATCCCCATACCCCTTCTGCACACCTATCCCACCCCGTGTCCCTGGTGCTGAGGCTGTGGGTGTGCCTCTTCTCTCCCACCCCAAAGGCTGAACCAAGCTGCCAAGAGCTCCAGTAACAGCTCTGGTGCTGGCACTGGCCCTGGGGCATCTTCTGCTGGCAACAAACTGGAGATCTTAAAGGAAGAGGAGGAGGAGGTGAAGAGGAAGGTGGAACAGTGCAAGGTGAGAACTCACTTGCTCTCCCTTATGGGGCAGCTCGAGGGCTGGAGACCTGCTCCCGTCCAGTGGTTCCATCCAAGGTGACCCCATGCCAAGACAGATGCAGCCAGCCACCACGTCCTGCCCTCTGCAAGCAAACCGGTCCCTCAAGGATCAGAAACAGGGAGATGCCCCAAGCCCAGGGAAGAAGATAAAGTATTAAAGCACAAGCTGCTGCAGAGGGGAGGCTCCAGGGGCTAGAGCAGAGAGGTCATGGGGTCCCCTGGGGCTGGGAGCCTGCTGAGCTGGAGTCTGTGACGGGTGGCAGGGGACTTTCACATCAGCTTTCTCTGCCTCTACCCTGTTACTCTGAAAAGCCCAGTGCCTTCTCTGACAGAACCCACAGGCATGCGGGAGGTGGAGGGACCACTTGTCCCTCAGCCTCTTGTGCCAGGACCCTGATCACAGGGTAGGTCGCTGACACTACCCAAATGCAAGCAGTGGGGGCAAGGAGGAATCTGTATGTGGTCCCAGCCCACCTCCCCACCACACCCCAGAGACCCTGCCTGGCCGACTCATGGCCCAGAGGGGTGGCTTTGTGAAGACATCCCCTCTTCCTTGGATGCCAGGGAGGAGGTGGAAAATTGCTTTTCTTTGTGCTTCCCTTCCCAGGACGAGTACATGGCTGACCTCTACCACTTCTCCACCAAAGAGGACAGCTACGCCAGCTACTTCATCAGAGTAAGTCCTCTCTCGCCCTCCTCCTCTGGGTGGGGACATCTCCTGGGGTATGTGTGAGCCCAGCCTTGTCCCCATCCACACAGAGCCCCCTAGCCAGGGCAGGGGACAGCCCCAGGCACCAGCAGATGCCCAAAGGTTTGCTCCAGGCACTGCAGGTGCATGTCGCCACTAGCATCAAGTGCAGAACAGCTTGTCCCGATGACTGCCCCATCTCCAGTTTGCCTTCTACCCCTCACTATAGCCACAGTCCCACTAACACCAGGGGGGTTCTCTTTGCATCTCCCCATTCATCTTGTCTTCATGTGGGTGCAATGTTCTGGGGGTGGGAGTCCCTCCAAGAGGGGCCAGTGCTGACTCGAGCTCTGTTTGTGTGTTCCCTGCCCGGAAGCTGCTGGAAATCCAAGCCCAGTACCACCGGCAGTCCCTGGGATCACTGGACTCGGCTCTGGCTGAGCTGAAGGAAAGCCACAGCCAGACAGGTACCACCAGCTCTCCACACAGCCCAGGGAGAGAGGCAGCCAAGCCCAGGGATGTGAGTGTGGCTGGTGAGGCTGGGAAAGGCAGGTTTTCCCTCACTGTTCCTGCTGCTGCCGCCTCCCACATGGGGCTGGTGGGACGGGGATAGCAGCCTGAGGCAGGCTGGGGATGCTGATCCACCCAGCCAGCCCCAGCTCGGAGCAAGATGTTGGCATGGCTAGATGCCAGATGGCCCCGGCAGCCACCATTCCTCCTGACATTCACCTCCCTCTTCCAGAGCCCTCCTTCGCTGCAGACACCCTGGTGGTGGGGTACTATGGTGTACCCCTAGAGACTCACCTCAAGAGCTTGGGCCGGGAGATCGCGCTGCCCATTGAAGCCTGTGTCATGATGCTGCTGGCCTCCGGCATGAGGGAGGAGGTAGGCAGCAGTCCTGACCCCCCACCACCCTCTTCCCCAGAATGCAGCCCCTCACATCCCTCTTCACCCTGTTCCCAGGGACTCTTCCGACTGGCAGCGGGTGCCTCAGTGCTGAGGAAGCTGAAGAGCAGTTTGGCCAGCGGCTCCAACACACTGGAAGAATTTTACTCGGACCCCCATGCCGTGGCTGGTGGGTGCTGGTGAGGCAGAATAGGGGGACATGGTCAGGCAGTCCCCAGTCACCATCACCCCCACAGCTCCCCCTTCTCTCCCAGGTGCACTGAAATCCTACCTGCGGGAGCTGCCTGAGCCTTTGATGACCTTTGAGCTCTACAATGAATGGGTCAAAGTGGCCAGGTGGGTCCAGGTGTTGGGGCGGGAAAGCCTGCTGGGGATCAAAAAGCCCCTCTGCCATCCTCTGTCCCTCCCGGCACTTGGAGCAAGGTTGCTCAGCCTCGTTTCCCATGTGGGGAGAAACAAACGCAGTGCCTGGTTTGTCCCATGCTCAGCAGAAATCCAGATGGCCCAAAATCTTGGAGAATAACAATAAATAAAAAGGTAGGGCAAGGGAGAAGGCTGCAGCTGTTTTGGTGGCAAGAAGAGCTTAGCCTGTGAAGACTCACTTGGCTCCAATAGCCTGAGCCCCATCTCACCGGCCCACCAGCCCAGTTTGGCCTCTTGCTTCTGGGATGGCAGGGGTGGCAGAGGAGACACAGCAAAAAGCCCAGGAAAAGGAGGAAAGCATCTTTCTGAAGGGATCAGCTAAGTGCCAGTGAGCCCCGTAGTCACAGTGCAACAGGGTGGCTGCTTGTGGCAAGGCAGTGCTCACCCCCAGGCCCACTCACAAGCTATAATCGTATCTTATTAAATCCCTGAGAGCCTTTGGGGTGCAGTTTTGTCTTCTGTGGATGCCTGCCTTAGCTGCCAAGTAAAGCTAGCAGCAAGGCATCTTCATCTCCATTCCCAGGGCTATGGCCTGCAATGGGGTGGCCAGCACTGACCTTCCTCCCTTGCACACTGTTTCCCTCTCTGCTGCAGGGCACAGGCTGAGATCTCTGATCCTCCTTCTCTCTTGCAGCTTAAAGGACATTGACAGCCGTGTACAGAGCCTGCAAGACACCTGCAGCCGCCTGCCCCGTGAGAGCTACAACAATTTGAGGTGTTTTGCAGGGACGGGGCTTCTTCAGCCCCAAGCAATCCCTGGGGGCAGCTGTTCCCCCCTCCCCAAATCCATACTTACTGCTCCCTCGCCCTCCTTTTACCCCACAGGTATCTGATCAAGTTTTTAGCCAAGCTGGCTGAACACCAGGAGGTGAACAAAATGACCCCCAGCAACATTGCCATCGTGCTGGGCCCCAACCTGCTGTGGTCACAGCAGAGCCCAGGGTAAGACCTGGCTCGGAGGGGTGGGAGGCAGCTCCCCAGCCCTAGCTGGGGTGCCCTCAGCACAAACACCATAGGAAAGGCTGATCCAGCAGTGTTCAGGCTGGTCTAAAGCACTTCCGCTCTCTCCATCCTCAAGTCCTGTCCCTCGTTCATGCACTCCCTGAGTGGCACATCCTCTCGCCAAGTATGTGTCCGCTTAACCGCTCTGCAAAGGAGCAGAGGAAGAGCCCGAGACCTGGAGCACTTGTGACATGGATGGCCTCCAACACCGTTGGCCTCCAACATCAAACTAGGGTTTCCAGGACAGGGAACAAGGCCCATCTCCCACCCTCCTCAGGTGGGCTGTCTCCTCTTTGGGGTCTGCCCCCTCAGGAATGAACACCAAAAGGGTTAATGCACCAAAAGCCTTTTCTGATGCCTCCCTCACCCCTGTCTCTTTAGAGACTCCACTGTGCAACTGGACTTGGCCTCCGTCTCCTCCATCCAGGTGGTAGGTGTGGTGGAAGCCCTCATCCAGAATGCGGACACCCTCTTCCCTGGAGGTAGGGCCGGGGCCTCGCTTGGGGGGCCATAGCCCAGGGTGAAGCGGGGAGGAAGGGAAGGGGAAATTTCTCTGTCCCCCAGAGGAGGGAAGCAGGGGTAGGCTCCAGCTCCCCAGTGTGGTGTCACTGGGAAAAGCTCTGGGCATCAAGTGCTTCCTCACAGGGTCCCCTCCTTTCTTCCCACCCAGAGGTAGATTTCAATGTTTCGGGCATGTTCACACCACCCATGAACGGCGGACTTGGCGAGGCGACCCTGGTGGAAGAGCCATCCCCTGAGCCCGCTCTAGCCAGCACCCCCACTCTCCCGGATGGAGAGGCGTAAGTCCAGTGGAAGGGAGCTGGAGGCTCTGGCTGTCCCAGCTATCCCCGTGTCCTTACCCTATCCCACCCCATGCCATGGGCCGTACCCTCGCAGGTGGATGCGAGGTGCCTCATGGCCAGGACCGTCATGCCCAACCGAAGCCTGAGTTGCCCCATTCTCTGCGCAGCACCTCAAGGGACCCCGAGGCTGGGTCCCAGCCGGCATCCCCAGTGGTGACCAGACTGTCTCCCGAAGCCGTGGGGCCACCAGCTCCGCAGATGACCGACAACACTGCCCGCAAAGGTTAGGGTGCCCCGGATGGCACAGTGCTTGGGAGATGACACCCCCGCAAAGCCACCTCCTCTGGTTTGCATTCATCCCACTATTCCCTTCATGTAAGGGTGCTGGGGACACCTCTGCCACCAAATGAGAGGAAGGGCCTCTGGCTGGGGCATCTTAGCCAGGATCTGGCTCCTCACTGCATGCTCCATCCCCAGCCAAGGTGGGATTGCAGGGATGGATGTAGCTGGTCATCCAGTGCGGGGTGAACACCACCTGTAAAGAGGTGACAAAGCTCATGGCCTCTCGTGAAGGGAAGAAGATGGGAAAAAGCTCCATAAGCTGATGTGCCCTTGGGTCTGCAGTATGGGAGCTGGGCACAGGGCAGTTTGCCCATCAATCTGCCTGCAGTCCCCTGCCTGACCCACAGCCAGCACTTCAGCCCCCCTCTGCCCCAGGAAGAGACCCTGGCAGAGAGGGGACCCCAGCCCACCCCAGCTTTCTTTCCAGGCAAGCGCCCAGC